GCAGTCGTGTCGGTGAAGAGGAATAAAATATTTGGTGTATTAAATAAGATTCATTTCCATTCATCATCAATAGTTGGTTGCTATACCCACATAGATAGATAAGATTAAAGCGACTCATTCTAACAAAATCAACGATCAAGTATAGTTAATTATCACAAGTAATATTTAAGGGCAAATGAATAAAGTTATAGACCAATATCGTAGTGTATAATACTATTTTCCTATCACCGATTTTTATTTCTCTTCAACGGCTCGAAGGAAGAGCATCAAGGCACTAGCCGCATTGGTCCCGTCACACGACGTCGCCGCGCCGCACTACGTGGCGCTTTATTGCGCTGCGTAGAGCTACACTATGCCATGTAGCGCTACACAGCGCTCGATGTAGCTATACTGTGCTACGCTATGTTAGACTACGCAGCGCTAGATAGCTACAGCGCACCAGGTAGCGCTGCGCAGCGTTACTTTATACACTAGTGTCTAGGTCTAACAGATCACAGCCTGGGAGCGCTCGCGCGTGAGACGTCACGTGATGGCGGTCACGTCCGCATTCGGCTTCTGCAGCCCGTCCTCGTCCGTTGGTCTGGAAATGTTTTGAAACGATAATTTAATCATCTTAATTCATTATTATTGAATAATAGTGTGATTTTTTAATTTAATTTGAATAATAAACTTAATCGGTAAAGCTAATCAACGTATAAAAATATTGAGTACTTTGTACAAAGAATTAAGATAATAAATAATCATAATTATCGGAAAACGATGTTTCTTAAGTAATAAAAGGTTAGAAAGATGCCCAAGCCATAAATGAATTGTTAAATAAATATATTTTTACATTGCATTTTATGCATTTTTAAGAAGAACATTGTAAATATATTATTTTCACTACTTTCTGACAGGCCGTAAATAACTTGTACCTAGGTTCATAAACGAATTAAAAATAAACACCAACCTATATACATGCGCGGAAGCAGAGGGCGTGTGGTAGTGCGCGGCGTAAGGCCGTGCGCGGCGGCGCGCCAGCACGGCGCGGCCGAGCGCGCCGGGCCGCACGCTGTTGCGCGCCGCGTGCCACGCCAGGCGCGGCGCCAGCGACGCCGCCGCGCTCAGCACCAGCACCAACCAGTACACGGGGTCCACGAACGCGTGGTGCATCACGAAGTACGTGGACGGCAGCTTGAAGCACGACACGCATACCGTCTGGTACGCGAGGGTTAGCACGAAGAACGAGCCCAACGAACCCGTCAGCGCCAGCAGGTGGATCACCGTCTGTGAACACCCTCTACTATGATCGAATACGACGATACGAAGTGACAATTCTACCATAATGTATTGCATCATCACTTACGAGAGTTTAAACAATCAATATTTTATATTAATTAGTGAAACGTCTGTTTATACAATCAATTAGAATAAATTCAAAAATATTAAAATATTATTTTTAGTAAAGACATCTATCTACCTATAGTAGGCATGTGTAGTATAGTAGATTATGGCAAAATTCCGTTTTATTTTCATTGGTTATTCTAAATGTTTTAATTCGAAATTCTTAATCTTAATCCGATTTTCTACACGTGTAACATAAAACATTTAATTCAGTGTATTACGTGTTTTATACACAAGGCTATAAAACGTGAATGTGCTTAAAAACGTGGTTTAATTTAAAAAAATATATTAAATTAAGTACATAAATTCATTTTACACACATTATAACACTAATATTTGACGTCCTTCACACACAAAGCGACTTACAAGTTTCGTATGAAATAGCTGCATGAAAATATAATTTTATAAATAACGTTATTATTACAAAATTAATTGAGATAATGTTGAACTTTAATTTTATAATAAAAATAATATAAATTATTATTGCACTTTTGGTATACTGTATATAATTTTATTGAATTCATAAATTTCTGCATTCCTGTAAATGCTCCAGCAATGGGTACGTTCACGCTCTTGAAGCATGAAAATTGGAAGATATCTTCACTTTCGTAAATACATAGCAAATTTTATGCAAACACTGAGTTAAACTCTACAATCTATAATATAATAAGTCTAGAAGATATATTTTTTAGATCTCAAATAGTCCTATAATTTTAACGATAAATTGTTTACATCAGACAGCGCTCAGAGAACGCAGTTACTACAAGAACATTGTTTATCATAAAAATAAAACAAAAGAACATCAACTCACCCAACTCCTCGTCTCTATAGCCACATAGAGCAACATAATAACTAGACAGCACGTCATATTGCAGAGTCCAAACAGCCATATGTCGACGTCGGTGTCCCAGTAGGCGGCCACGGCGGTGAAGAAGATGACGACGCTGATGTAGACGGACTCGGCCAGCACGAGCCAGTAGGAGTGCGCGCGGTAGGCGAGGCCGCGCCGCGCCGCGCCGTACAGCCCCGGCCGCTCCGTCAGCAGGCTGGCCGGCGCCACGCGGTCGTACGCGCCTGCGCCGGACACGCGTATTGTTATATGTGGTACTAGCGACTCACTTTACTGACAACCCCATTTGCATTTAATTATGCATTTTTAAGATGATTTCCATTGTATGGGCTTGCGTATTTTATATTTATAATGTCGTGGAAATATACTGCTTATCTAATATTACTTTCCACAATGATAAGGATGAATATTAATTGATGAAATAAATATATACCCTTATATCCCTGGCTTCGCTCGGGTTCGGCCCTAGATTGCTTCCCAATACAAATTTTCATCCTCATTTTCACCCCCTTAAGGGATTATTTCCGGGATAAAAAATATCCTATATCCTTTCCAGGATCTCAAACTATCTCCTTACCTTTCATCTAAATCGGTTTTATAGATCCAGAGATTACACAAACTTTACCTCTTTATAATATTAGTATAGATTATAATGTCCTGACCGATTTGGATCGTGGCGGACAATCTCACTGAGACTAGCCATAGCTGCTAGCACAGGAGATATTATAATCCGTATGCGTGCAGACACAAGTGTACTCTCTATTTCGGTCACTCTCATACTCAGATAGTAGAATAATTTGACACAACCGGTGAGAGATCAACGCGACGCCTTTGCTATCCAAGTCACGGGGGTAAAACACCGTCAACTTCCCAACTCCGATTTGTTACTAAGAATTTCTTAACAAAAAATCTAGTAATTAAACTTAGTACGAACGTAAGTAATTTGTGTTTTTAAAATTTATCAACGCTTTACGCAGAATATGTGGATAATGAACGTTTATCAAAGGCTCTTTAAAATTTATAAGTACAAAACAATGTGCGTTCATGATAAACGGGTCGTCGACGTGTATATAAATTGCAGTGCGCAGGCCCTTGGTCACCTAAACATCCAGAATGGAACGCCAAGGCCACTTCTTTTATAATATTCCTGATTACTACTTTAAATTACAGTCAAATTTGATAAAAATATTTTTTATTTTTTACTTTTATTGAACTCATTCTCAACACTGTGAGTACACTCGCAACACGTGTGTCGAAATCTAAGAATTATTATGTATATTATATTTCTTGAATACTTAGTATGTCTTTATGTGCTAAACTCGTCTTAATTACCTAAATATTATAAAAAAAGTCGTTTATTATTTTTTGTTTAAATAAAACATTACAAATAAGAGTTTAAATTATATTATTTAAATTATTTTATTTGATAAATTAAAATTCATCCTTACATTGTGGGAAGTAATATTAGATAATCAGTATATTTCCACGAACGACATAACAAATATGCAAACTCATACGAATCGTTGGTGATTTAAACGAAGTTATTTAAACATATTGAAGCGCAAATCAATAAACGTATCGATTGAAATAATGTTTAAATTGTCCATATTATATAAGATATTGATTATTTTCATCGATGGCATTTCAATTATTTTTTATTGAAATCATTTGACGTTTATAATAAGTTCAAAGACCAGAATATTTTTATTTAACTTAACCGGTTAATATTTTACTAAGGAAGGAATTGAATTATAAAAGATTATACGCATACAGAAATTAGATACATTTAGACTGCTAAGTGCTAATATATACTTTACTGCTAGGAAGTGGTAAAATAATTTTGTATTAGGAGTATTCAATAAATATACATATACTTAACATGGTCGAATCTGCAAGCAGTAGCGGACTATTGTCTATTAACATTATAAAAGTGTACGAACGCCAACCCGCAGTTGGCCAGCGTGGTGGACTATGGCCTGATTTCCCTTGTATTGAAGGGAGGCTCGTGCACAGCAGTGGGATGTTACTGACCTATGACGATGGGCGGGAAGGCGGTGAAGGCGAGATTGTACGCCATGAGATGCAGCTGGTCGATCATCACCGACGATGAGAACCCGCAGAACAGCTGGTACCAAAACACTAGGAACACGAATGTCTGGAATTTGTAAAGCGTTCATAAATACAAAATAGCAGCATTTAAATAAATACAATGTATATTTTCGATAACTACAAACTTAAATATGTTAATTTCTCATTTAATTAATCCAATTTACGCACATAAATTATCATAAAAAGTAAGTTAACGTGGATACGATAGCTTACTTCTTGCATGGATATGCAAATATATAAATAAATATATTAAAAAAATAATCTAAGAATTCCATTGCAATCTAGACGTATTTTTTTATTAATAATCTGTTGGAAGACGTGTGACATTATACGAATATTTTGCCAGTATCATCTGTAAAGTACATATAAATCACGTTTTTTATAGAACACTTAGTACAATCAAATGTAAGCAAAGACATAAAATCATATTAGTATAATAAAAAAAAGTGCGTGTGTGTGCAATTCACACATGTCAACCAACAACAGTTACCATGGCAACATGGCAATATATTCTATCTCATTCTCTCGGCGGCTTAATCCTATACATTTGTGTCTCTTTTAAGTGTCGCATTGTCGTTTCATCGAGTTTCAAATCACAACGATTCTAAAGAAGTTTCATTTCAATTAAGATATTTGTAAAAACTACAAAAACACTAACGGCATTTTTGAGGAAGAAGTATAGTATCATGCGCGCGAGGCGGTCGTAGCACCAGTGGCCGTGCACCAGCAGCAGCCGCTCGATGAACTTGAAGCGGGAGAGCGCGAAGTCCGACGCCATCACCGCCTGCCTGCCTTCTTGGCCCGACAGACCTGAGTAAATACAATATCATATAGTAACACAGTAGGTATATCAACCCATTTTAACGTCCCACTGCTGGGCACGGGCCTCCCTTCAGTACGAAGGGGATCAGGCCATAATCCACCACACTGACCAAGTGCAGGTTGGCAGACTTCACTTGCCTTTCGAAAACTTGCTAGGTTCTCTCAGACATGCAGGTTTCCTCACGATGTTTTCCTTCACCGTAAGGCAAGTGGTAATCATGTTAGAAATTAGTCGCACATGAAAATATCAGAGGTGCGAGACCCGGGATTTGAACCCGCTGGCCGCTTCACTCGGTGTCCCAAGCTACCGCGTTATACTATATTTTGAATTTGTGTCGAAACGTGTCGAATGCGATACAACAATCATGGTTACAAATACAAATCAAAATAAATAGTTTTCAAATTCAATTTACTATTTATTTACAGAAACAACTTTATACAGATAAATTTCTTACCAACTCCCACATCAGCCGTCTGTATCATGGAGACATCATTGGCTCCGTCGCCAATAGCCAGTGTCGTAACTCCTAGTTCTTCTTTCACCGCCTGTGAAATAATATTTTTTTAAACACTGGAAACCTATTTGTTTGAGAGAATCTTTTTGAAAGTCGTCTGAAGTTCGCCTATTCGCATTTGGCCAGCGAGGTAGAACACAACCTGATCCACCTCGTATTGAGAGAAAGTCTGTGAATGATATTGGCTCGATAAAAATATTGATATTATTAATATTTTTCCCAAGTATTTTTAATATGCACTTTAAAATTTGTTAAATTTTTCATCTATCATTAATTTAACATAAATATTAAATAACAAGTTTATGCTACAGTTGTTACGGACCATCCGGTATTTTTTTAGCGGGCGAAATAAGACACTTCAAAAGAAATGCAAAATTTTTTTTTTTAATTATCTGTGTAATATATATTTTCTTTTAAAGTTGACGGGAGATTTTCAATTATGCCCATCAGATTTGATGAGATTTAATTGGATCCCCAACACAAGCCCCTACCACGATTTGGAGTTCACGTAATTAACGGATGCCCCTTTATTGCGTTTCAATGTATAACACTAAATATATATGTATAACCTTAACAATGTAAGCCTTCTGCAGCGGCGTGGCGCGGCAGCAGAGCACGGCGGAGCAGCGGCGCGCCAGCGACAGGAAGGGCGCCACGAGGCCGGAGCGCCGGTCCAGGATGTAGGTGAGCGTGCGGCCGTCCACCACCAGCGCGCGCCCGCCCGCCGCCGCGCCGCCCACCTCCAGGTACGCCTTGATCGTCGACTCGGCGTGCTCCTGGTGTCACGGTTTGTATTCTTTACTCATGTCTTAATCCCATTATTATTAAAAACTACAACTAATTCCCACAGCTCCGCCCGTATAATACAATTCCGTATATATTATACTATATTTCTATATTACTATTGTAAAGTTTCATCGTAATTCGTTTAGTAGATTTTGCGTGAAAAAAATTTTATAAATAAAAAAGGCAACTTAGAGACGCACCCGAATGAAAATATGCATATTATTTATGACGTAATAAAACTCTTTGCTTCTTTAGTAATAAAATTTAATTAATAGGTAAATTACCTTATGTTACACATATTTACCTACCAGAAATAAATGACTAGATTGTTTGCGCTACGTAATTAAAAATAAAAAGTATGCAATTTGACAATATGAACAACATTTGTTTGTCACTAATATTTTATAGCCTTTTTAACATTGGAAAAAGTATTATAGTAAGTCAAATATGGTGACTCATCAGCAATAAAACTCAGTACAACCCACAAAAATCCAACCATGTTAACTGGGCGCCGCAGGACCGCACTAAACCACGTCACCTCAACGGCTGCCTGCCGAAGCCGACCACAATAACAAAGGCATTGCTCTCACAATCAGTGGATGCTATCAAAGTACCAGGAGCAACCCACATCTTATATAGTAAAAACAAACCTACAAACTACTAACCTTATCTCTCGACATGAGATGCAGCAACCTATCGCTCTGAGAGAACAGCGCAGCGGAGTACGCTATGTTGATGGCAGTTTCAGGCTTATCGCCGGTGAGGACCCACACTACGATGCCGGCGTCCAGCAGCGCCCGCACCGTGCGCGGAACGTCCTCCTGCAGCCGGTCCTCTACGCCTGTTGCGCCTACAAGTGTTAGAGCGCTTTCTAAACGCGCGAGTGAGTCTCGTAAGCGTTTTTCTCTACCTGGATGGAATAATTTTGATACTTTATACATATTAACCAACTACTTAATCTATACTAATATTATAAAGAGGTATGTGAGTTTGTGAGGTTTTAGGGGGTAATATCTGGATCTACTGGACCGATTTAGATGAAATTTTAGTAAGAAGATAGTTTGAGACCCTGGGAAGGACATAGGATACTTTTTATCTCGGAAATCATCTCTTAAGCGGGTGAAAATGGGGATGAAAGTTTGTATGGAGAATCAACCTAGGGACGAACCCGTGCGAATCGAGGGTGAGTCGCTAGCGTTATATTTACCTAGTATATTCGAGAATAATTTATGCTTACTATATATGTATGTATGTATTATAAATTAAAGTCTACCACCACGCTGAATTCCCTTAAATCTTAGTGAAGGATTTTCATACGGTTTTCACCGATAGTAAATTAGGTTATTAAGGAACGTTATAAAAAGTATATAATAATAATTATAAGTCGTAAGTAATTATAAGTCTATACTAAACGTAACTAGGGACGACGACCTAGTATTATTCAAATTTAGTAAATCTAAAGTCACGATTCTGATTTATCTGGCGTTTATAAAAAAAGCAGGCGAAAAATTAAGTGCGTGATCTGGGGTTATAAATTATAATAATAAATAATGTGTTTATTATTAATAGCTAATTACGGTTATTGTTTCATTGTATGCAACATTTTGAACAGGAAAAGATATATTGACTGTAATGTGACAAACAATACGCTTTCAAGGTAAACGCGATTATACAGATGTTCGCGTTGTCTGTGCACTTCGCGCTTCACTTGAGATCTGTTAGACGGATATCTATCTATAGGGTTCTATTGTACCAATATTCTAGTTATTTTTTGTATAAACTAAATAGACTCATTGTTATTTGTTAAGTATTATAAGTGTAATTTCAATTACTGAGTTAATCAAAACATTATCTAGAACTCCCTGTTACAAACACTCCCATATTATAATGAATTAGATTCGGACTACCGTTCAGAGGTAGGAAACCTGGTTTTGATCATTGGTCCCAAATCGAAATGCTTTTGGGTTTAAGGTTTAGGTTACGTTCTTTAACCGGTAAAACCGGCTTTCCTGGAAAGCAGTTTTTGACCTATTTAGGTTCCATGATCCAAATTTAGCGGTTAAAATGAGTTTATGTGCATTAACATTTGGCGAAGCTTTGCTAATGGCGAATTACTTAGTAGAAGGATACATGTACGTTTCTTACTTATGAATGAATTTACGGTAAACCGGTTTAATTCAGTATCAAAACTTAAGTCTAACCTTTCTATAATAATAACCGTTAACCATTAATATTTCTGTTTACTAAACCGTTCGTTTTTATTAACCGGTTGATAACGAGCGATGAATTAACCATTACATTACCGAAATTAACTGTTTCTTTTGAAACCGGTTTAGAGCCCTACTAGTTTTATAAGTTCGAAAGATAATGTATATGTTTGTGTTTGTTACTTCTTCAGGCTGAAACAGCTCAACGTATTTTCATTTAATTTAGTATACAATGATGACTATGCCCTGGGGGCTGGAGCACCAGGTAGCTGCCGGACTCGAGTCCTCAAGCCTTTAGTTACATTATATAAAAAAATGGGTGCGTGTATCCATTACGTGCGGTTGAAGTAAAATTTCTTTGGCAAATATCGCAATTAAATTCAAACAAATCAATAATTAAATAAGGCATATTAGGCATATTCAAATATTTATATTACAATCATATATTTATAGAATATCTAATACGGAAAATATATATTATAATACTAATACCTTGGTTCCCAATGCAAACTTTCATCCATATTTTCAGCTCCTTAAGGGATGACTTCCGGAATAAAAAGTCTATGTCCTTCACAGGGTCCTAAACTATCTTCTTACCAAATTTCATCTCAATTGGTTCAGTAGATCCAGAGATTACCCCCTACAACGTCACAAGCTCACAAACTCACAAACTTTGCCTCCTTATAATATTAGTATAGATTAACGGTTACCAACTCAAAATCGCAATGTATTCTATCTCATTCTCTTGCCGGCTTAATCCTATATATTTATGTGTTTGTCTCCTTGTGGTTTCGCATTTTGGTTACATCGAGTTTGAAATCACAACGATCCTAAAGAAGTTTCACTTCAATAAACAAACGCGACCAGCAATAACAATTAGTCCTGAACTATAACAAAACACTGAACATACAATTATAGGCATATCTACATACCTTCACCAATTTCCGCAGCCCGAGCGTGACCGGCCAGCCATTCCTCCCAGAGCGCCGGCTGCATCGTACGTTTAGCCATGACCAGCGTACGAAGACCCGCGCGCGAGTACTCGCTCAATAACGAACGAGTCCTCTCGTAAGCGGCCGCTTCCGCTGAGCCCGCTCGCATCGGCGTTAGTGCCCCGAGGACTGTACTGTCTGCGCCTTTCACGTACAAAACTACCTGGGGATTTCAATAAAAATATTCGTATTGCATTTGTTATAGAATGTTAAGTAAGTTAGTCATATATTTATGACTAACATTGCCCGCGGCTCCGCCCGCGTTTAGATGACTAAAAACTAAATTCTTAGGTTTTACATATTAGTATACTCTTACAATGCAGTTTTTGTATTTTTTCTCAGAAATGAGATATTTACTGCATTAAAAAGTATCCTATACGTTGACCCTGATAACGAGCTATCTCCATACCAAATTTCATCAAAATCTCTTCAGTGGTTTTTCCGTGATGCGGTAACAGACAGACAGACAGACAGACAGACAGACAGACAGACAGACAGACAGACAGACAGACAGACAGACAGACAGACAGACAGACAGACAAACAGACAGACAGACAGACAGACGGACGGACAGACAGACAGACGGACAGACGGACAGACAGACAGACAGACAGACAGACAAACAGACAAAAATTCTAAAAACTATAGATTTGGCCTCTTTATCGATAATAACGTCTATTTCAATAAGATTTTCCAAAAATATTTAATTTACAAATTCGGCTTAGTTACAAGTTTATTATATGTTTAGAAGTACCGTATTTTCAGTGTTTTAACTAATATTAGTTTTGCTGTCAGAGTTTCTAGGTTTTATCATCGCATTGGGCGTTATCTTAGAGTATTGATTGTATGACCATTTATGTTTTTAACGGTCTAAAAAATACAATCGGTAAGATTATAGACATACCACACGGGCGGTAAAAACTTATGTGAGGTAAATTGTATCTTGGAAAAGGAAACTGTATAATGCACATTGTAATGGCTTACCATCGCTTCGCTCGATTTCGCCTCCAGGAAAACAAAAACTAACCTATCGCACGCGAACCGTACATTTTTCCGGGATAAAAAGTAACCTATGTGTTATTCTGATGTATGAGCAATATTATTGCAAAGTTTCATCAAAATCCATTCTGTAGTTTTTGCATGAAAGAGTAACAAATATACATCTATATATACATACATACTTACAAACTTTCGCATTTATAATATTAGTAGTATTAATGTAGTAAGTACAAGTGACGTACCTGTCCAGTAGGCGTCCTGAGCGCTACCGACATGCATTTTCTGTTTGAATCAAACTGTTGCACTCGAAGGACTTTTAATTTAGACAGTTCCCCGCGTATTCCCAGTTCAACTTCGTCTGGTGATCTTCCTCTCAGTTCATAACCATAAGCTAATGCGGCCTCAGCTAAAGCCAGTTCATCCGGACTTTCTGCTTCGAAACGTGCTAACTGCGAAATATTGTTCACAATTGTTTTAGTGAAAGGTACTTAAAAATATAACATTATATTTTTATTATTCGAAGTTTATTGTCATTGCATGTTACGTGCCAATAATTGAGTTTACGTTCTTAAAGATGAGTCATTTGAGTGCGACATATACTTTCCTATACTTGTACATGGGCGTGATTTTGATAGCTTTAAAATACGTTTCTAGCAAATATTTAATAAATGTAAATAAAAACTTAAAATACGTGTTTAAACGAAGGTTTTACACAGATATACGTAATGGCTGAAAAAAAACCTATCGAGGAGAAAGTGCTTTTGTATGATTTTAACAATGAGTTATGGCAGAGTTTCCAAGGTCTTCTGTTAAGAATATTGCGAGGCGAGAATACATAAAATTTCCTTTTAGTTTCTAAAGAACATTATAAATAATATTATATAATTGTTATAAAAATATCACGTAGATGGATGGAGTAAAGTAGACTGACTATACGTATCAGTTAAGGTGACGTGAGATATCGGTAATAATTTAATGAAAACAATTATACGTACACTTAACAAATAAGGGTATAAGAAATAGGAAGGATCTTTTAAACTTTAATTGAGTAATCAAATCATCTTTGAGATAGGAAACAAGTCCTCATCTCAAATGAGACTATCTCAACCTACGTTACGACTGCTGCTTACAAAGTGCTGACATTTCAAATAAACAATTGTGACTGATGTGCTGTGCACTATCGTTAAAGTAATTTATGGATCACGTGTAAATGGAAGGTATTTTCAAAACAAAATTTCAACTTGTTATGTTAGCAATTTATGATGCACACTACATACATATATTTTTAAATAAATACATTGAAGGAAGTTTATAATTTAGAACTTCGATTTTTAGTTTTAAAAAAAATAGTTAGGTATATGATTTTATTTAGTATTACAATTTCACAAGCTTACTGTACATAGTTATACATTAGTAGTACGTATATACATTTAATGGAAGATAGCTTTTGTATGTACATATGTGTAAGTCCTCTACGAGGGAACTGTTTATATTGGCCGCCGCAAATATTTATCTCGCTTTGGTTTTGATTAAGACAGGGTATTTGGTATCGCAATTTAGGATGGATACTAACAAATTCTGGATATTTATTTATTATATAAATGCCCCCGTGCGTGTGTATAAAATCAAAAATAAGAAGTCACAGCTTAGACCAATCTAAAAGATAAATTAAAAACAATTTAGTAGTAAAAAATCTTAAAATTTTAAATCTGGTTTCTATTACATAATATGGAATCTATTCTATTACATATTATAATGTACAACTTCTGCAACTCGACCTCGCTACGATTATGTTTGCACCTTAAAAATGTAATGTTAAATTGTAAGCGGCAATGATATTTAAATGTATATAAAAATTTAAAAAAAATAAATAAAAACCGACTTCCAGACACTAAAATGTAAAAAATAACTAAGCGGAGGTTTTCATTTAGAATAGATACCTAGTCAGATACTTTCGAAGTCGGTGCCAGCCGATGCAAAGCAAATCTAATACATTTCGATACGTAAAATATATATTTACCTATTGGATATTCATATCTTAAAATATTGTAGGCCGGCACCGACTTCGAAAATATCTGATTAGGTATCTATTCTAAATGAAAACCTCTGTTTAGTTATTTTTTACATTTTAGTGCCTGGAAGTCGGTTTTTTTTTAAGTTTTTATTTTTCCATTTTTAGTGTAGACTTAATAAGCAGGTAATTTATGAGAAGTATGTTTTTTTTATAACATATTCGATTAAACAATTTATTTAAAAAATATATTTATTGTTGATTTTTTTTAAAACCGATCGACCGATTTCGATAAAATTTATATGGGACCACCTGGGGAGTATACCCTTTGAAACACAAAAAAAATTCCAAATCGGTTCAGGCGTCTTCGAGTAATCGGTAAACATACATAAAAAAGAAGAAAAAAAAAAGATTCCGACGAATTGAGAACCTCCTCCTTTTTGGAAGTCGGTTAAAAATAAAGTTGTGGTTCCATTTTTAAGTCGAATAATATCTTGTAACAACAAGAAGTTTTTCTCTGCCGTGTGAAAAAGACTATACAGGTTTTAATTGTACTAATAAATATATAATAAAAAATCTCAAGTTTTATTTGAATCTGCCGAGTAAATCCGATGATGCTATTTATGTTTTCTGTTGTTGTTACTATTTATGTATTATTACTCGAGAGCATGCAGAACATAAAATAAATTATTTGCTCCTCAACGACTTCGATCACGGTGGCCTATCTTACTGAGATATGAGCTGCGCGGTAGATATTATAGCGCACTTGTATTAGCTTACATAGACTTCACACAAGTGCATGTTCTACTCTTTTCAAATCCAAAGTTCGGACGAAGTTTAGGACGACAATTTACAGCACAAAACACTCGCGGCGAAGTGTGCACGATTAACGTGCTGTGTCTCACAGCGACAGTGTAACACCGCCAACGTCCAACTTCTTCTACTTCTGAGAATATTTCTTGTCAGAATAACTCAATAATTGTTCGTGACCCGACTCGAGAATAGAACCTCCGTCCACTCTAACGATTAGACTAACCGGACATTTGAAAATAAGACCTATACATACAGAAACAGACAGAAAGTGGTATGAAAAATAATACGATACCTGTATTTCAGCCGACGTGCTCGGTTCGCTGACGTTTTCCTCCCGACTGCCGAACGGTAGTTTCGGTAAGCGGAGGCGCAGTGGAGACGTTGTGGACGGCGGAGGCGACGGCGTGGTGGACCGAGATTCAGTTAATCTAGCGTACCTCCAAACCAATCGGATTCAAATATAGATCATTTAAGAATAATTTGGAAAATTTTTGACTGCTCTTAAATGTAATCTTAGCTTTATTTCTCATTTGAAGCAAAATAATATACAGGAAGGATAATCGTGACATTAATAAATTATAGCATCATTAATTATGGCACGGGTGTATGTATGTCTGTGGGTATTAGACTTACTCAAATAAAAAAAAAACATCATTAATTACGACTTTACAGCGTAAATTAAATAACAATCTATCTAAAATTTGTAGATAAATGTGTTGCCTTTTCCTTTTGCGTTTTATAAATATTAATTAATATACATACAGCTCATTATACGAGCTTAAACAAAAAATTATCCCAATTATCCTCCCTGAAGATCTTTATGAAGCAATATAATTAATCTATTAAGAGTTTAATCCCAAAACAATTTCAAAAGCCAATTTTCAAATTTAATTTTTATATATGTATAGGCAATAATAGTAAAATTACTACGTTAAATTTAAGTTTATGTAAAGATTAGCATTAAACTCACTTGTCGTTTGATCGTAAAGTGCCATTAGCTCGCGAAGTCTTCTGTGGATGGAACTGTTCGCTGCTTGAGCCGGACAACTGCATCGAGTCGACATGTGGCTGACTGACCACCACCGTGTTGCACACGGCGAGGATGAGCAGAAACTCGCGTACCTGATAATAATGGTATCAACATATATTAAAACATAGGAAATGGGCAGTATTCTTACATAATTTAAAACGTAATATCTGTCTGTCTATTTGTGAGATTACAATGCGAGCATCACTGATACTAATTAGAAGTTACAGGTTTGATTTCCATAGATGGCAAATTTTGATTGATTTGTTGACAACATATGAGTTAACACCTACCGAATATGAAGATATTACATCTACATTCATCAAAAAATGGTGGATAGAGTGGTTCATTCTCTCTGCCTATCACACCTGCCACAAGTGATACAAAAAGGTACACTTATAATATAAGGCGAAAAAATATGCATAACCAAATAATATATCCATATTTAATAAGTATTTAGTAAAAAACTAAACAAATTAGTTCGGAATCATAAAATATCAGTAGACGAAAAACATATAAAATAAGTAAATTCTCCCATTTTTGACGTCAATCAACAAAGAAACGCGATTAACTGGTAATATAATCAGTACCTAACCTACACATTAACAGTGTTAGACCATTTTAAATAACAGTTATATTCACTACTACCTACAACGTTGCTACTTGCTATCGGGAAAATGTGCTTAAAACTTTAAAAGTAACATAAATATACATGTATGCTATACGTTAAGTGATAAACATTAAAAGTAATTTTACTTTTGGAAAGTCGAGAAGTTACGTTCATTAAAATTCATTAGCATATAGATAGGTAATATTCGACATGTATTTCGAGTTATATTTGTGAATAGATTGCATTTATTTTTAAACTTCTAATTATAGAATTAGATTATAGATAAAATTAGTATTAACGAAAGACAAAAAAATCATTAACATACCATAAAGTTTATGTAATGTAATTCATCAAATTCAACAAAGAGCAAAAAAAAAATTTTATGTGCAGAAACAAAAAATATTGGTTTTTCGTTAAGATGTATCATTGATCGTGGCAAAGTTAAACGTTTAGTTTTTTTTTGTTTTATTTTAATTAATTAATTGAAATAAAACCTTAACGCTTAATGTCTATTTTATAAAACGAAGATAATTAAAAAAATTGCACTGAAGGTCTAGCATATAATTGTATTAGAGTGAATGTAATAATGAAATGTAAGATAAAAAGAAAATTATATATAATATGTTTGTATTACGAAATTAAAGTAAGAGAAAATAATGTAATTAGTCCCTGTAATGATTTCATTAGTGTTACCTTATATTTAAATACTTTTATATAAATAAAATATAACATTAGTAAAATGCATTGTGTAACATTCGAATTTGAATTATAAATATCTTTACCTTTTGAGTGTGTTGAGCGTCATTACTGTCGAGTAAGTGTTGGAGCATTCTTCTGTTTGGCGATACTTTAGTTATAGGTGTGACAACTGGAGGCAGAGACGTCGAAGGCTCTGCGTCAGGTCCCGGAGGGTGATCATAATCGACTCCGCCAACTGTACAACGCCGAAAAACCATCTTGTTTTCCGTTAGCGTCCCAGTTTTATCACTGAATAAATAATTTATCTGCCCCAATTCCTCTGTAATATTTAAAGCTCGACATTCCGTCCTCGTATTCGTTACCGAATCGTACATTTCGACGTCCTGGTGAATATGATAAACTTGCAAGAGCTTTGTCATTTCTATCGTAACGTATAAAGATACTGGTATCATCACTTGTAACACTATAATGTACGTCCAAAATATAAGTAAGCCCTCATAGGCTGGTTTGTCGGCATGAGGGATGAATGGCGTGTATTTATATATGGAACTGTATCGATCTAACCACACTTTACACCCGACTGCTCCCGCACAACAAAGAAAAAGCAGGACTAGAACACACCATATAACATCTGTGTTCATTTTCCTTTCCAATTTTGAACATTTATATCTTGGTCCTCCGTTATTTAACATAGCTTTGGTTTCGTGCCCAGCATAAACTACTATGCCCTCCACATAATCGGTATTTTTAATAGTGCACTCTCTCAATAGGAGGTTTTCTGAGTTTAGTGGCACACGGCAACCGTTTGGATGTGAAATCGTCCCAGTAAACCTATATATTTTGGTAGATGGTCGTTCAACTTCTACAGAACTTCTGAACTTCATTGCTGAGAAATCTAGTTGCTGAAATATATAAAAAAAAAATTACTGTCATTAATCGACGACGACGAGTTTGGTACCTATGGACTTTTATAATAAAACTAGCAAAAGTAGAATAGCCGGAGGCTACTTGATAGGCATTGTCACGTTATTGTCGCGGATTTCGAAGTAATTTTAGTGAAAGTTTCCCACCATTTTGTCGCGGTAATGATTGTTGTGATAGTTACCGTGTCCATCGAATTATGCAAGAAGTGCTTCATAGGAAATGAAGAATTGAGGTTAAACTCTAGCTAGCTAACAGTTCACTGGGCATCCAGTTAGTAATCTAATTTATATTTTAGTCAAAATTTGGATAATAATTAGTTAATCTTTTGCGAGTTAAATGTTTATATAAAAATAGCAATGACGTAAATTATCTTTAGCAGTTATTTCTTATTCATAAAGCTGTCAAAACATTTTAAAAGGAAACAATACTTTTTCTTTAAATCCTGGCGCAACTACACGCTGTTTCAGATTTGTTTCACCATCTAGATTGCAAGTGTCAAGGTAGCAGATCCCCAAAGGGTTCGAGGAGTGCAACAGAACCATATCTGCTGGCACTGCTTCATTGTTAGAAAGGTGGACTAGATCTCCTACGCGTACGTCTCTCCATTTCACTCTCACGTATCTTTCCACTGATCTGAAAAAATAAAATATGTATTACAACACGGCAGAAATATTATAATAACTAATTGCATTGATAATTGCATGTATAGTGTACTTCAACAAATATATTATCTATGAAATTAGGAATCTTACAAATGCAGGTATATATGTATATACAATAGACCTTTTGCATATTATGCATCACATAGCTCCTTTGTTTTGAGTTTCATGAGGGCTTTCAAGAAGATTGCCTGACTAGACGGACCAATACGAGAAAAAAAAATACAGACTGCTTTATGCTCTTCCGTTACCTTTTAAAGGGCAAATTTCAGATGTTTTGATTGAGAGAGAGAGAGAGAGAGATTGTGAGAACCGAGAATAATTTATCTAGTAGGTACTTAGATTGTATAAACGCAATCTTACCTAATGTGGTTAATTATATACAAAATTTACAATTAATTGCTCATTATGCAATTAATAAATTGATAATTACTTGTGAATCTGATAATAAGTATAAGGAGACAGAATATTTCTAGGTTTTTTTAAGAATATAAAACTAAAGAAATTATAATATGATTTTAAAAATATAAAACACAACATATTTTTAATATTTTCCTATTTATGCTATACGTATATTGAGTTTTCCCAAACATGTTTTTATATCTAGTATTTTTGGGCTTTAATGTAATTAATATTCTACGAACGTGTGGGCGCAGTTGTATAACAAAGGAAACACCTTGTGTGGAGTATACAAGATTAATAAAATGTAAATATTATGCTATATTTATTTAAGACATTAATCTTACATTTAGGAATACTAATAAAATCTAGAACATATTGTTTACTCAAATTCTTACACATACATTTATAAAGTTTAAATAGATTATAAACATACATAGATTAGAACAGTGTTTGTTCTTCATTTTTTTTAATTTTTTAATCTGCAAAACAGTTTAAATCTTGTGTGATGTATAGCTGTAAAACTCACGATCTTGGCCTCAATGCATTCTTTGTCATTATAAAAGACAATTGTAACATTAAAAAAATCCCAGATAATTATGCAGGTATCTGATAAGCCGTATCGTCATTAATAATGAAAACTGTTATAATATAATTTTGGCAAAGAGATAGTAAACAGTTTAAGAGTGTTCCTTAAATATTATGTCAAACTAACGACTCACTCTCTTTTTGCTCTGGTTCATCCATACTACCATAGGTACGTTTTAATATAATATTTATATATATTATATGATATATATAGCCTCTTCAATAAACGGGCTATCTAATGCAAAAAGAATTTTTCAAATCGGATTAGTAGTTCCTGAAATAAATTCGACAAATAATTGAAGTTGTTATAAATTCAATCGCAAACAGTTTGACGTCTATATCATGTAACGGTATGGCGGCAGGCGAGGTTCATATCAATCTGATAACGGGTCACGAATGAGCAACAGGTAATAAAGGTATGGCAAAAAGAAAGCGATTGTCATTGTTATAAAAAATTGTGTTGATGCTTTCACTGTTCCGTTGTTAATGTTATTGCAGATTTAATTTGAATTCGACATTTAAATACAATGGAAAGCTGACTATATTGACAAGCTTTGTTGCGTGCTTAGCTTTGAACAGCAGTTTTGGGACCGTGTTTTATAGTCGCGTGTCATGTTTGAGATCCCTGATGAATGGTCATGGCTGAAAAGTTAATTTTACATGTATGTTTGTTTACCACTAACCATGTGGGTCGTCGTTGTATATATTTTTTTAAAGCAATTGCTTCTATTATGATTGTACAACCTTAACCTATTCGCAGTTATTCAAATTGATACATTGTCCATTGTTCAAAAATTATAGTAGGTAATAGGTATATTCATGTGAAAATTGAAAATGTCGGCCTTTTATTCTTATCATAAAGTAAAGCACTTAAGTTGTATTATTAGATACAAATATTTTACATTAACTATCTTTTGCCACATTATTATATTATATATATATTTCTTGTGTGCGTGTGTATGTGACTGAACTCCTCCTAAACGACTGGACCAATTTTGATGAAATTTTTTGTGAGTGTTCGTGGAGATTCGAGAATGGTTTAGATTTACAGTTTGGTCTACTGGAAAATGTTTTTTCAATTAATTTCTTATTTATAAGGAGTTGTTGATTTTGGAATGTTTTACATTAGATCCGGCGGACGGCGCTATCATCGCATTCAATATTATTCTATTTCAATTTTAGTTTGTCCCGACAGATGGTGCTACGATTAATTTGAAAAAAATTTTGTTATTCAATTCATGTGCTGATTAAAATATTAAATGTAATTATTTTTTAAAGAGTTTTGAAGTGTGTATAAATAATTTTGTGAATTCAGATGTTTTTTTAATTAATTTTTATTTGTAAGGAGTTTTTGATTTTGGAATGTTTTACATCAGATTCGACGGATGGCGCTACCATCGCATTCAATATTATTCTATTTTAATTTTAGTTTGTCCCGACAGATAGTGCTACGATCAATTTGAAAAAGTATTTCGTTATTTTGTGTTATAATTGTGTTATTCAAGTGAAGTTGCTAATTAAAATATTTAATGTAATTAGTTTTCGAAGAGTTCTGAAGTGTATATAAATAACTTATACATTTTGTAAATTTAGTGCGGAATCGAAGTGAGTATATTTTTTATAAATTATCTTTTTTAATTTACACGTGCGTTTATTAACAACCAACATAACCTTCAAGTTTATTTGTGTAGTTAGAGGATTGAATTTTTTTAATTATTTTTATTGACAATTAATTCATTTTTGGAGATATTAAATAAAAAAACTCACAAAATGCGATTACATGTTCTTTATCTAAAATTTGTCATAATAAATCTTTTGAGTTAATTAATTAAAAATTCATTATCAATAAGTAACTCATATTCATTGTATATTATTTTGCAATATATCTTTATATATATAATTCTTCTGTGAGTGTATAGTGTATGTCACTGAACTTCTCTCAAACGACTGACTGACTCCGATTTTGATGAATTTTTTGTGTGTGTTCAAGGGGATCTGGGAATGGTTTAGATTCACAATTTGAATAATAATTTTCATCAAAATGGTCCAGAATGTTTTAGCTTATTAAAAAAAGTTTGAAATTTTCAAATTAAAGACGTGTAGACAGGACAACGTCTGTCGGGTCAGCTAGTTATATCATATAATTAAAGCGAGGAATTAAAAAGTTATCTTTATTGATTTTATGTTCGTGATAAATCAGAAGTAGGTTATCGTAACGAGATAAGTAACGTCACTAAACGGCGAGAGCATTGTTTTATCACGTAACGGTTAGGTACATATCAATCACCGTTTTATTTTGTTAAATCATTCATTTTTTTTTAAATAAAATGAATCATAACTACTTATCGCCTTTCAATGTATATATTATCTATGTAGTAGGTACGTTTGTACGATAAGAAAATGATACAAGCCTCATCTTGCGATATCATCGGTTAAATCCCAGTATCATAAATTAAAAAAAAAACCATACTGTATCGAATTTTATACGAAAAATACCTATGTTAAATTCATATGTTGTTAATTGAATAAAATATATAGATATGATTCTGATTACTGTTTGCAATACTTTGCTTTGCGTAATATACCTATAGCAATTTCACGGACACCCATTAAAATTATAATTATAATGGTCTATATAATATTTTTTTATTAAACACGACAATGCATTTACTGTATGAATTGATTTTTGCAGTATTAAGCAGTTCAGCTTAAGATAGATAATCTATACTTACTAATATTATAAACGTGAAAGTGTGTTTGTTTGTCCTTCTTACACTTCGAAACGAAGCGGGGGATTGGTGTAATTTTTTGTGTGGAGATAGTTGGAAGGCTGGAGAGTGACATAGGCTAATCTTTACCGCGGAAGATCATCTAATTCCCAGAAAAACACTTTATAATACAATCTTAAAAAAAATATTTACGATCCGATTTACTTCAAACTTGGTATTAATGCTCTTCTATAAAATTAAATAAATACGTGTTTTAGCATTTTCCGAAATTCATTCTATAAGAGTACTACCTTTTTAGAAATTTTGTAGTTTTAGCGACAGCGAAGCCGCGGGTTCTGCTAGTACAATAATAAAGTTAAATCAACAATTAGGATATATGCACGTACCTATTTCTTTTTAAATCATTAATATATGTCACTTTTTTTAAATAGATATTTGAAATTGAGAAAAAAAGCAGTTGTTGATTCGTCGGCATTTTTGTGCCCTATGAATGAGTCACAGACCTGTCTGTGGCATTGTTTAGGTGAAATTGTTATTATATTGTTAAGAAAGCTAAAATGTATTAAAAATACTCTAACAAAAACTATTTTTCACATTAAAACACTATGTAAATGTCATTATCTGAAATTTAAATACTACAAATATGTTGACATGACTTTTTACGTCACATTTTGTTCTGAACAGTGCTGTCAGCTGTGTTTTGCAATTTCAATTTTTTTTTTCACTTTATATTTGACATGTTTCTTATAAAGCCACAATTGTATCTACTAGGTACTATCAAATTTTCGTAGAGAGAGGAGTTGGGTGTCTCGACCAAACGAAGCTACTCGTGAAGTTTGGCCTTGGTATTAATCATTAAAAAAAAAGGCGTGGTGTGCTGTATAATAATAGATAAGTACATAGATCGTACACGCGGGTACAACCGTAGTAACAGCTAGTAATAATGTTGTCTCGTGACCAAAATTAACGTAAAGGACTTATGCATATTGTGTGTTATCTTCTATTTTAATTTAAACTTTTTATTGTCAAACGTTTGTAAAAAGCGTTGAAAATATTGGCAAATGTAGACGTCTTTTCAATTGCCACAATAAACCACATAAATTCTTTGTTTAAACGAAAATACATACTTACATAATAATACACATAGATTTCTCTATCCCTTCTTCCTTCCTTCTATCCTTAAGAATTCAAGAATTGAAAAACAAGAAAACATCATTATGGGGTTTACGTTATCTGCTTATCTCGTAGTATAGGGAAA